AATATTTAAGGGAAATTTATTGAGGAATAATTCAAGATGTCATAAAAGAAAAGCTATGCAAGATTCTATTTAATAAGATACATTCTGAATTGTAGAATAAATTAAAATCAGTTAATATTTTGTACGCAATTTTTATGAAGTATCACATATCAATGACATGGCATTTTATGTTGATGTTGCATTGCATCAAAACTCCTCCATGGAGCTTCATAGCATTTGGATTGAGTTGAAATCATGTATTCTTGAGCCCTCCCATTGACCATATTTCCTCAATTCTACTTTTTTCGCATTGAATTGATGTCTGTTTGTATAGTTCTTCAATTGTTGTGATTTTTTTCAAGATTAAGCTCCTAGCTTAGCTGTTATCATTTTAGGCTTTCATGTGATTCAAAAATATATGAGTTGGATGTGAAATTTTCAATCAAAACTCATAAAATTATCCATAGGGAAGTTAAATAATGTGCAATTTTTATAAGTTTATGCTGGTTGGTAACACGGATTGTGGTAGCAGAGTTGGGCCTGAATTCTCATATTACATTTTATAAACGGTGCGCTCTCTCTCTCCCTGCTTACCAAGAGGCAATTAAAAAAGAGAAGATTTACGTGCATACCGCTCAATTCCTATGTATTTACATATCTAACTAAACTTTAATTTTTACATACATGTCATCATGCCTTATTTAAAATGCTGGTATTTTTGATGTGAAATGAAACATTTTGGTGGTATTAATGTAAAAAGTAAAAAAATAGGCGTTAGATATGTGAATACAGAGGAATTGGGTGTAAACGCCCCTGAAAAAGGTTGATTATAAACATTCTAACTAAACTTTTGTTTGATGCTTGTTATATTCCATGTAATCCAGCATGTTGTGGGGGGCTATGAAGGGTATAACTAGTAGTTTAACATGTTAGCATTATCTTGTTTCTTTGATGTGGGGTGGTGGAGGATGGTTTAGTAGAAAAGCTCATACTTGCTTATGGTTGGTTATGTTGAATACAGATCCTGGTGAAGCTTTTGGAGAGGTTGGAGGCTAGTTAGGGTTAGGTTTTATGGGTTTAGAAATCGAGACCTAGAGGCGTTATCGGGTACTGAATATTTTTTTGGTTGGGGGAGGGTTGGAAGGCTCAGGAATGAGTTGAGAAATGGTTTGCTAAAAAAGTTTAAGGTAGGGATGGACAGTGGGAAGTCTTGGAAGGGCAGTGGAGTGGACGAAATATACATTGTGGAGGATTTTAGGGTTTGCTAAGATTTTTGTAGGAACAGAACAGTGATCTCCTCTTTTTTAGGATTTACTTTTGATGGGTTTTGATATTGGCACATGTTGGAATTCCTTCAAGGATGACTGACCGTTCATGATCTATGTTCCTTTGCTTTGAAATTCAATATGCTAGTGAAATTCAATTTCAATCTAGTGTTTTAATCTGTAATGTGTTCATTGGTATATGTTCATGTGTTGGTGTTACATCAACTCTATCGGACCACCAAGACCTCTACCTTGCAAATTTAAAAGTCAACATACCATCTAAGAATTCAGGCACAAGTTTCTCCCGGTTTTCCTTAGTCATCCATGTATTTTTAGGATGTTTATACTTTCATTTAACTGAGAACACGTGTCGAGCATCTGTAGCTGCGATAACTTCATCTCAAATTATTTCTTTAACTTCCAGGGAACTTAGATGGAGAGCTTTTGTAAATATTAATCATTGTCTTCTATGAGTGGGTTAATCTGCAACTCTAGTTGCTTAATAATTTCTCGATATGATAAATTATCTTCAGTATTAAAAATAAGATTAATAAAAATGTCTATATTTACTTCAAGCAGACTAATAAAATGTTGGCATATCAGTCAATAAAATAAATATTCAGTACAAATTTTGAAGTATTTTGAATGGGTCACAAGCTGTTACATACACCTCATAGATTGTCAATTTCCATGTTTGTAATTTTTAAAACGTAAGTGCATTTTTTTCCCCAGATTTGTTGCCTTTTAATATTTTTTGTGGCAGAATTGTCATGATACTTTTAAGTAAGTCCCAAACCTCTTTTAAATAAGTGCATGTTATTGAAGGAGTTATTCCATTAATCTTTTGAATCAAAATCCTTCTTTTCATTACAAATATGCAATTATTAGATTCATGCTTAAAATTGATGCTTGTTTTGCATTTCATAGAGTGTGTTGGGTTTTTTAATATTAGTCTACTCCATATTATATGGAGCGAACATTTCATGCTTTGTTAGACCTAAAATTTAAGCTTATTGTGATTGGTAATGCCATGGAAGTCATTTTTTGCCCTAATGTGGATTGAGGCAAATGATGAAATGATCATGATGATGTTAAAACTAGTTGGGTTTGATACTACTCGATGCAAATTGTGGCATAGGTTGAGAACTTGAATCCACTAGGAGAGAGGGAGGGAGAAAGGGAGAGCTTGCAATTGTTTCTAATTCATATGATCTAATTAAGGAATAATTTAGGATATTTCATAGAAAGATAATTAAAGTTATGCAGCAACAACGACAACAACAACAAGCCTTTATCCCACTAAGTGGAGATATTTCATAAAGGTATGCAAGAAACAACTAAATAAGATTTCTTATTTTATAATAAATTAATGGGGCGTTTACAGACATACCACCCAATAGCTATGTATATACATATCTATGACCTAAACTTTACTTTTTTACATTTACACCACCCAAATCTTTCACATCACATAAAAAATACTACAATTTGGACTTTTAAAAAGTAAAATCAACCTTTTCATGCGAAGGTAAGCGACACATAATGTAAAATTTGTGCTAGACATGTTAATACATAGGATTGAGTGATTTGTATGCAAATCTTCCTGAATTAAAATTATGAAGTATTATGTAGGCAATTTTGATGATTTCTAATATCAGTGATGTGACATAGTTTGTTGATGGTGTATTGCATCAAAACTTCAAAATGAGCTTGTGGAATTTAGATTGAGTTGAAACCCTTGTATTTCAAATCCCTTCTACGCATCCTTCGATCCCCATTCCACAAACTATATTAGGGAGGATGAATGGATGGGTTTTAATGGTTAAAATTTGGTGTGTGGTCATACTTACTTTTTATTCTATCACTGATCCTGTTTTGTGAACTCTTCCTTTTTATATTGAATTGGTGGTATATTTCTATACTTCTCTAATTGGTTTTATTTTTCTGAGATCAAGTTTGCTTAGTTAATGTCATATTAGGATTCCAATTCAGTAATGCACATTTGACTCAGAGGTAAAATTTTTAATCAAAACATGGGAAGATCTTAGAGGATGGCACACTGTGGTGATTAATGAAGATCTTGATTAAGTTTTTGGAGTGTTGGAGGCTAATTAAGGTTAGATTTTATGGGTTTAGAAGTAGGAGACCAAGAGGTGTAATTGGATTTGGAGATTTGAAGGACTCGGGTATATTAGCTAATAAATGGTTGATCGAGAAGTCATAATAGAGGTATGTAGTGTGGGAAACTTAAGAAAGGTTGAGTGGAGGGAATATTCCTTGTGGATAAGTTTAAGGTTTGCTAATGGTTTTTTTAAGGCTTTTTTAGAGTTCAGTTTGGAAGGGTAGAGGCTGACAGTGATGAAGGCTTTAAGAGACTTGCGGGGTTATAATTGGAGGGAATGTGTCTAGGGTGACAGTTTGAGAAGTAGGCCGAGAGATGAAGCGCAATGTATAGCTAAGGCACTTAACCCAAATTTCTTTTGGATCAAGCTACCAAGCTTTCCCCACAATTTGCACACAAAAACAAACTTCAATGTTTCATCCTAATTTCAAAAGAGAACAAGGTAAAATTATTACACGTGGACGATAGTCCTGATGCGGCCACGTTCACAAGGCGGCTCATTTGGACAGTTGTCCAGAGTGTAGTCGCCGCCCGTAATAATTTCTCACGAGGTTTAGGTTTTGCAAAAAGTGGATTGGTTTTAAAATCAACACATGCTGGAATTGCTTCAAGGAGAGCCTCAAGGAGGAAAGACCATGCATGATCTATGTTGTTTTGATTTGAAATTTGAAAAGTCGGCATACCCACCCACCATGTTAGTTGCTTACAGAGTTGGTCTGCAAGTTTTGATAATTTAACAAATGATTTAGAATGGAAGTTAATATTTTTGTTGCTTTTAAGCTTTAAATCCTTAAAAATTAAATATATTATTGTTAATTGGAATTTTTTGGGCTGCTTTTTTCATAAACGAACAACATTTTGATGTCACAAAAATTTGGCAAATAATTTGAGGGACCTTGCTTGACAATGGCAGGCTATATAAGGGTTTATTTGGTTTGATGTTATTAAGATATTAACGACGTTAGTATTATCTTTCAAATATTTTGCTCTAGTTTAATAATATTATATTGAGATGTCAGAAGTATTTATATGTTAATATAACAACATGGTTCTTCAAAATCATGATATTCGGTTGATATTTATTACTGTAAAAAAAATGATAAATTTGAAGTGTTCCATAAAGCTATTAATTACTACAGAATTCCTGAAATTTAATCAAACAAAATATTTACAAAAAAACGGTATTTTTCATTTAAAAATTTAATATTAGTGATTCTTATGTTATGGTAAAGATCTACATATTATATTAGTAAATGTTTTAAAAAATAAGCATTTGATTTATCAACACATTAAGATATTGTCGTGCATGTAAATAGCCATCATTATATATATAGAATGTATCTTTTGCATTTTTCACACTAGATTTATTAAACTATTATAAGTGAAAAATGTAACCAACTTTTTTCTAAAAATAAATAAAATAAAATGTTCATAACTTTTCTCAAAACTTACAACAGGTCCCCCATACTTTTACAGACTGCAGCAATCTCAAATAAAGAGTTTCATCATTTTACAAGAGATGCACAAAGTCATTCAACCATTGAAACAAAACGGCTCTAAATACCCAAACTTATTGATTTAATTGATATCTACTAAAATAATATCTGATATCTAATTCAAAGTTGTACTGTCCAGCAGGAATCTAGCCAGAGGTTCTATCACCACCAAAGGCATCTTCCTGAGCTCCAACCTGTTGAAGGTGGCTCACATCTCCCCACTTCTTAATGGTCCATTTCTGCCCATCCTCGTGAATATGGATCACATTCACTGATGTGTTCTTTATATGGCCATTCAGCGGCCCCATTGGGCGCGCTCTCCTGTAAAGCTCTCTCAGCACTCCACCATGAGTTACCACTATGATTCTCTCACCTGAAATGCAATATCATTTTAAAGATCGAGTCAAAATGGGTCACATTTTAGCTCCAGCATGTATAAAAGTGTCAATTTAGCCCATAGCCCATAGGTTTTTTTAATATAATTGAAATAATCCACAATGAGAATTATTTTAATCTCCATTAAAAAAATTTGATGACTATTTTGACAATTTTATCAAGATTAAGAATCTGTTTGGGGCAGTTGCAGTTATTTGAAGAAACAAATTTAACTGCTGCAGAAGAAATTGTTGTTTAAAAAACTGCGATGATTATTACAAATTTATTTTATTTTCAAAAAAGTCAGATCGAACTTTCTAACAACCATCACATTTAGTCAAGTCAAGTTGAGAAATGCAGCTTCCTGTTGTAACTTTTTGACGCAGGCAAAATGCAATTTTGCCACACCTAAAAGTGCGGTGCAGCACTGCATGACTGCCCCAAACCCAGCATGAAATGACTCCATATAAATAATTAGAACATTATTTTGGCACTTTACTCCTAATTTAAGTTGAGATAAAATACGAATAACATTTTAGTTAAGTGATTATCACACAAAGTGAAACCATGTTCTTAAAGCATTTAGTTTATATTGCTTTTGGGTAAGGCTACACCAAATTGCCACCATAAGATATTTGATGAAACAACCTAAATCTTTTATGTAAATTATTAAAAAATTGGCAAATAAAAACAATTAAAACTTTTAATATTCATACCTCGGTGCTTCCAAGCCAAATTTTCCAAAAAAGAAGTGCATCTCTCATGCAGTTGAGCAAGACTTTCTCCACCACCCTGAATCAGAACAAAGAGGACAGGTATGACATTTACAAATCACAAACTTTATCAGCCAAAACCACAATTTAAATAATATAAATATTTGCTCTCAAAAGTGCATACCAATAAACCAAAAACTAATGGTCAACAAGTACTAATTAGAGAAAAGAAGAAAGTAGAACATGCATCGTATGATAACAAGTTCAAATGAATATTGAAACAAATAAAAATAGGGAGGGGAGGTTTATATACATACCACACAATTCTCACATATTTACATATCTAACCACATAAGCTTTGATATTTACATCTAAAACACTTTGGTCTAATAAACTGATACATTAAAAAAAGTATTTCGCTTCTAAAAAGTTAGTTATAGAAATATTTAATATTTGATATTAAATATTTGAGTATTATGTATGTAAATATGAAAGTTCAGGTGTTAGATGGCAAAGACATAAGAAATGTGTGGTGTGTATGTAAATGTCCCATGACAATACATCAAGCACTACTTAAAAAGTGTAAATTTCAGAGAAGCTGGAACCATCAATCATGTTTTGAACAGAGGCAGGGCCAATTGGCCAAACACTATAAAATTAATACATTTTATTGATGGATATGCCTAAAATCAAGATATCTAGATAATCCCACTCCAATTCCAAGACAGTAGCTAGTGTGTAAATTTCAGCTACCGGGAGAACAATCTTCATAGATGAACTGTGTAGAGGTCCTTCAGCCAAAGATCATACATGGTCCTCAATGCAAAGCACCTGCTCTACTAGAGATTTTGTTTTTAAAAATTATCCAAAAGGAACAAAAGTTAAAGGGCATGTTTAGAATTAATCTTGTTTTTCTTTCATTTATTTGTTCAAACATAATTATTTAATGTGTTTTTTACATATATTTTTTATTTTTTATTTATAAAAATATATCAATATATTTTTAAAAATTTTCAAAATAACTTTTAGATGTTGTGAGTATTTTTAAATAACAATCATACTTTTAATTAAATAGCCAAATTTATTTTGTTTCAAATCAAAATATAAATAAAACAAAAATACAAAGATAGATCATAAAAACAAAAGCGATTCCAAACGGCCCCTAACTTTAACAGAGGCCTAGTAGTAAAAGCACACTCTAATTATATGGTTGCCGAAGATCAAACATGGCCACTTAGTTTTTTATGACTTGAAAATTTTACATGCAATAATAATTTTTTGCAGGAATTTTAGGCACATGGGGCCTAATAATGGACCGAAAGTCATGAAAGATAATTAAGTGAAGTAGGCAATGCTTTTATGAGTTATGACACCAAACAAGCATGCGTAATATCACTTAAAAAATTCCACAATCTTTCCACAGCAATACCCCAATTATCAGTCAACTATTCTTTATTGCAAACAAGGCTAGGCCGTCCACACAAAGTAAGAATGGAAAGCTTTTTAAACTAGTCAGTTCTAAAAAATGAAATCAAGTTTAGCAAATTACAGGAAGTTCTTGATCTCTTTTAGCGGACAAGAAATGCTTGTAAGCAATTGGCTTCTGCTTCTGTGCATCCCGCATTGTCAAGCCCTGAAGCTCCCCGAGATGTCTTTCCCTCAAAGATGGATCCAGTATTACCTAATACAAGAAACCAAAAATAGTGCTAAAAAAATCATATATTATCATCGTAATCATCGCAGTAAGATTTATCCAAAATATCCGGATTAAGATAATGTTTTCTAAGCCTGATATTAGAAGATGTTGCTGTTCATTGACTGTTTCAATGCTCTTTTGATGATTTCGGGATTTACAGAGATCAGAAGACAAACTAATGATGAAAGCATAAGAGCATACCTCAGGCAGATTACAACGGCTTGCTATGATACGGGCGGTTTCAGCAGCTCGTTGCAAGTCTGACGAATAGATGGCAATGAAATCTTCTTGCTTGGATAGATGAGACGCCACCTTCAAAAAGATCAAAAAGGGGGCATGCAATACTCCCATCAAAATCAAGATTTGTAATAGCATGCAGAGTCTCTTACCTTACCGCAACCGCTTGCTGCCTTCCTATGTCATTAAGTTCTGAATCACTGTGTCCCTAAATGTATGAAAAGCAAAACTAAGTTATGAAGAGAAAGGATAAACCGAGTTCATCTGTGTAATAAGGGCTAAGGAGTCTGAAGCTGCACTTTAGAGTTTTATGTCATTTGATTTGAATACCAGTTCTTTACCATGATGGATTTAGAGAAAAGGTTTAAACACAAAGGCCATGAAGCCAAAGCAAGAAAAAATGGGTAAATATAACATTAAAACATAATAAATTTTTGAAAATTTATCACATAATTAGCAGATTAGTAGGTCAGGAGAATTAAACTAATATATGTGTGTGTGTGTGCCAGCTTCTTCTTCTTTCTCTTAAACTTCTTTGTAGGTTTTCAAATGAGTGAGAACACATGGGCTTCTCCGTCTTTTCTTTTCTAATTCTCTAGCAAAGAGACATGGAAGAAAGAAGTTTCTTATTTTCTTATAGATATGTGTGCAAGGAAACATCCTTTTTTCTTTGCGCTTTCTATTCCTTCTCTTCATGGGGGATAAATCTCAAGGAAAAAGATTAAAAAAAGCCCATTTTTAATTATTATAGAAAATAAATCATGAATGATAAGAAAAAATGGAACCAAAATATCACATAGATTGAAATTAAATGATTATTTTTGTCAAAATTTACTTATTTGTTATAAACCTATAGAGACTATAAAAATGAAGGGAGTAGAGAATATGTGTGTCCTGGATCTCATTAAAATAATTGCATTAGGATATATCCTATCAGATAAAAAATGACAAAAAATAGCAGAAGTGTCATTTTAAACCTTTAATGCTCATCAACTCTCGAATTATTGAAGTTACCGACGAAAATAATGTTTGCAAAATCATAATGTGTCAACAAACTATCATAAGTTTTTTTAAAATAGTTTTAAACCAAGACTTCTAAAGAAACCAACTTTTCAAAGCATTTTCAACCAAAATTGAGTTGAAATTTTGAATAATAAAAAATGGGTTGTTTCATGTGATATTTAAAAAACCATCCCAACACCATTTCAAAGAGGTAAGCATTGCTTTATTTATTGTAAGTTTGTAGAATACAAATAAAGTGGAAAAAGGTAAAACAAGAGAAGAAACTATCCGTGAATTTCTGTGTCAAAAAGAAAAAAATTACAAGTGAAGAAGTTCATGATAAATTACAAAAATGAAAATAGCACATCTAATAGTATTCATATTTTTAATAAAACTCTTAGATCATAGTTGTATCCAAAGCTAAAAAGCTCGATCCCCATTTATCCCTGTTCGTAAATGATCCGGAAGACTTGTCTAACTTTGGCCACAGCTGATAGGTTAGTTGGCTAATTACGGGATCATGTTGAGGCACAATAATTGAGTTTACCTAATCTCAGATTAGGTTAAGCCATGTGAATACAAAAATGCTAACAAACATGTCCAAAATAAGCTTCTATGGATGATAGATTGGTTTGGCTCGCATGGAGTGCATAATAGCACAATAAAATACATCGATAGATTACACAAGCTGCTTTTGAACAAAAATTAATCAAGCATATATGTTTAGGATAGTCTCTCCAACCTCCCTTATTTCAATGACCAATAAAGGAAAAGGATTAATTTAAGGACTGGTTCATGAAAGATAGAAAGGACTACCTGGAGATTTATACTTTTTGCATGTAATTAGAATTTGAATCCAATACTTGTTATTTATTAGATTTTTCTATTTTTTTTATGTGGGGATTGAACTGCAAACACCCTCTTTAGAAGTAAGGTGCAATACCATTTGCTTGTGTGTTTAGTGGCTAAGAGTAAAAAAATAACTCATTATCGTACTCATTTGAGGTCCATACAAAAGATAAAACAAAATTTCGCTATAAATTCCCCTTTTCTTTAGCTAATGTCACTTATAGCATTCTCTCAACCGAGAAACTTGAAGCAAAAAAAAAATTCTCATCAAGGGGAAACGGCAAAGGGAGGCATTAATCCAAGAAGAGAAAGTCTTTTCAAATAAAGATATACTTTTAGAACTATTCTATTAGTTACATACTTTAATTATTTCGCAATAGCATTCCAAAAAAATCTTTCTTGATTTCATATTTCCTACCTCAGTAGAGCCCCTTCAAGATCAAACCATTTCCTTAATTGGTTTTGAAATGTGCAATCAGCTCCAATTCCACAACCATGAAAGGATGACCAATTCGCAAATTATCATAAAGCTCCACCTCAACAATTACATCATTTCAATCCTATTCTACTTTTGCTATATACTAGAACTCCTATATCGGGACTTAGCCGTTACCATCATTTTAATTACTAACACACTTCCCTATCACTTATAGTGCAAAGTAACAGCCCATGCATCATATTGCAGCAAAAACTTCAAAAGCTCATGCCAAGTTCACTAATTTAGTTCTTCTTTCTCTATTATCCTACTCTGAACTTTGAATCGGACTTACTTGAACTCACTCTATGAGATATTTTGAAGTACAACAGCCTCATCAACCTTCTATAACAATAAGCCAAGCTTAATGAACTCACAGCTAGCAAAGCTCATATTCGGCTGTGTTGTCATTATCAATAAGTCAAGCCTAATGAACAAACAGCTAAGAGAGCCCATGTTCAACAGTTTTGTCACGAGCCAACTTGTCTGTAATCTAAAAAAAGTGACAGCAATCCTCTATGATAACAAAATCCGCCACTAGCACCATCTTCTGTCCCCCACCACCACAGAATAGAGAGAGACACCTTAACGAACCACAATGTTGGCATACATCATCCATAATGTAGTTATCTTTTCCAAACAACCTCAAAAGGAAAGAAAGCCAATTTAACAAACAAACATTATTGCTATCACCGCTATTAATAATCGATTCTTCTCACCAAACTATGAATCAAGCAGGAATTCTAGATAGCAACCCTAAAAAAAAGAGTAGATAACACCTAAAGTTCAATTTTTACATGTATACCACCTTCCCTACAAAGGAAAAGATGTATTTCACCATTTTTCTTCTAAATTTAGGTTCGTCTTTTCTTGGATATTTCCCATGAACTACATTTCCTCTGCTCTTCGAGCATTTATAATCGGATAACAAAGAAATTAATAATAGAGTCGCGAAAAAGGGTGGAGAGGATAAAACCTGAAGGATTCGTGATGCATTCCACGTCGTCTCCCCATGACGGACGAGGACGACCTCCGTGAAGATCTTAGCTGAACCGTTGCAATCGCCGACGGCCGCCATCCTGCAGCAATGAATGCCGTGCTGAATGGATTGGAACGAGGAATTCGAAGCGAATTCGAGACGAAAATTCTTTGATCGTTGGACCCAAAGACGGAACCCCCCGCAAACCCTAATTTGTTTCTTGGTATTTCCTTAAGGTGAATTTACCAACACAGTCCCTAATTCTTATTCCTTTACATCTTACCCCCCAAACTTTAATTTTTCCAAACCAAACATAGATTATGAACAGAACATTGCTACATAAAAAAAGATAATCATAATAATAGTAATTTGTAATTGTAGATATAACCATTGATATTACAATTATTATATTTAATCCAACCGTAAAATAAAAAAAATTCAAATCCAATTATTAAATGATGATACAAACAATACTTCAACCCATCTCAAGTAAAGCAAGTACTATTCATACAAGTATATGTCCGTAAATAAATGTATTATAAAATAAAATCTATACCCTTTTTATTTTTCTATAAAACGATGTCCCTTTTGGCATATAAAATAAGGTTTCCTTAGGCTCTCTCTCTCCCCTCGAGTAGGAGAAATTATTTCATACGGACACCGCATGCGGTGCCCGATCTCCACCGTCGATCGCTGCAATCAAATTTTTTTTTAAAAAAAATGTTAAAAGTGGGGCTCACTGAAATACATCTTTGTGGTAATCAACGGTGAGATCGTGCATCGCATGCATCTCTGCGAGGGGTTTGCTACATTTTTCTCTCACTTGTAATATAAACTTGTGTCGAATAAAAAAAACTGCCGAACTATTACAAAATATATTATCATTTATTGTTATCGACAACCCTTTCTATAATATTGCGAAACATCATTTTGCTAATATTAATTATTTACCTTTTGTCTTATACAATTAAAAGACAAAACCAACTTGAAATTTAGTAAAATAAATCTTCAATTAAAATCAATGGTATGTAACTAAATAAGCTTATATTCGTTTCACTCCATCAAAAAATCCTTCCGAAATAATAATGAAAAATAAAAAAGGCAGCTCAATAACTTTATTTCACTGACACATACACTGACCAATGTTAAAATCTCAATATATCAATACACATACATATACAAAAATTCAAATACTGAATCATACAAAATAAATAAATAAGTAACGATACACCAATTTCTTATGATTTATATATCTCCATCATTAAACAACATCATGTTAATGCACAAAATTACAAATATTTATCAAAATACATATTTATAATCAATAAAAAATTTATATTATTTGACCCGGATTAGAAAGACGCTCAACTCCGGCCCGCCCGTCCCATCCGGGTTAATCATATACAAAGCCACTGAATCCTTAGACCCCACCACCCTCTCAAACCTCGCCCGCATGTACGTCATCCCCCCCTCCACACCATTTTCCTTCTCCGCCGGCACCACTCCGGCCCCCATTGAAACGCCGCGCAGCAGCTGCATTACCTGCCATCCAAATTATGTGTTTTTTAAAATATTAATAAAAAAACTATTATTAATTTTAATAACAAACTCATCTATTTATTTTATTTAATTGAAATTAGGCTTATTTTGAAATAGCGAAATTTCTTCTAAAATGTCGTGTTTGTCGGAGGAAACAGGGGGATTTGAAACGGGAAAAAAATGTATCATTCTTGCAAAAGAACGTTCGAAAATGTCTAATTGTCGAAAAAATATTATATGAGGACTCCGCAAGTGGACGTAGAGCTAGGTGCAGTGTCTAATGAAATTACGCCGTGGAATTGATCGGCACGGTAACACAAGGGAATCTTTTCTTCGTGTTATTCAGGTGTTATTGTGTGTTATTCAGGTGTCATTGCGTATTATTTAAGTATTATTAATGTGTTATTGTGTTATTATAACACTGAGAATATTCTCAGAACACAATAAATAATATACAATAATACATAATAACACCTGAATAACACGAGGGAAATATTCTCTTGTGTTACCATGCTAATCACCTCCACGACGGTATAATTTCATTGTACTCCGCTCATAAGTCTACATGCAAGAGTCATGATGTAATATTTTTTTATACTTGCCTCCGTAATTATGTTTCTATCCTATTTTTCTAGACATAAACTACAATCAAAATGATGTTTTTATTATTTTTTTTCGATTGAATCACCTGCCGTTCATCATCGGAAGCCTGCGAATGCTTCCTCCGTATCGAATACCCAGACTTCCGCCCGTTGCAGAAAACCGCCCAAACATACTCTTCCATAAGCTTCTTTCTTTGCGATATTGTCTCACTTTCAAGCGCCAGCTTAACTACTCCAGAGGACATCTCCTTGTGAAAAGAGGCGGTGAGGATGGGGAGTTCTATGAGGAATATGGGAGGAGAACGAGTGTCTTCATGGATGGCGAGGGTGACTCTACCTCTTCGGTGGCCAAAGAGAGTTATGGTGGTCGCGTGGTCGGCGAGGAAGTTGGTTTTGGAGGCGGAGCGGTTGAGGAGGGCGACCATTTTGCAGCCGGAGGAGAGTGCGGGGAGGAGTTTCAACATTCGGAAGAAGTTGCCGGCGGAGGCGGAGAAAGAGCGGAAAGAGTTTGAGGAGGTATGCTTGTTGTTGTTGTTGTTGTGGTTGAGGTTGCTCGGGGGGTGGAGGAGGGAGAGAGAGAGGAGGGTGGAGGTATACTTATATTTGAGTGTAGAATTAGTCTTAAATTTATTTATAAAAATAAAGGGAGGCTAATTAATTATATTTTAAATTATATCAATTTATTATTATTTTTTTATTTTTATTAAGTATAAGATTATGTAGTTATGTACGGCATATTTAAATTATGGGAAATTTAGTAAATGAAACGGATGGATTGTAATTTATTGTTATTTTTGATATTTTTGTAATAATTTTAAATAATGACATATAAATGATTGTAATAAATAAAGGTTATTTCCCTAAAAGAAAAAAATTGATTCCAATAGACACTTAAGAGCTCAATAAATTTATAATGACGGTTCAACTTGATCTTTTGAAGACTGTAGCTGGCCAAAGTCTAATTAATTATAGAGACGGCCATTTTTATCATTATTAAGATGAAAATGATGTTTGTTATTATACAAAATTTAATTAAATATCTTTTTAAATCGGCATCAATTACTCAAGATGATATCCTGATAAGTATTTTTAGATTAGGGTGATATATCTATAATATTAAAGATTTTTGTGAGGTAATAATTTATTGGGTTTGCACTTCTACCACAATAAATTACCCTTCCTCATATGACAATTCATTCATTAACATGCATATATATATATATATAGATGCGAGCTCTCGTATAAAAGTGCTGAGATTCCTAAATCAGTCAGTGTGCTCAACTAATTATAAAACGACAGGTTAGCAGGCAAAATGATAACTTTTTATATAATTCAAGAATATTTAAAAAAATTTTAAAGGAGAATCATATGATATGGAAGTTATATGTCACAGACAAAAAAGTCTCACATCGACTAGGTGTATGGTCGAAAAGCAGTATTTAAGTCTTGGGCTGCCCACCATCTCTAAGAGCTCTTTTGGGAGGTAATAAGTGGTATCAGAGCAGATTACTGTCTGTCAGGTGTGTGGACTCTTCATGGTCCAGTGGGACCCTCGGTGGAGCATATTCGTGCGAGGGTGTTATGTGATTGGGTGGAGGTGAATATCACGGACAAAAAGTCCCATATCGGCTAGGTGTAGGGCCGAAAAAACAATATTTAAGTCCTAGGTTGCCCACCACCCTAAGAGTTCTTTTTGGAGGTGACATATAGGTCTCATTGAGACAACTATAATACTTTCTTAAATAATATTTATTTGCAGTAAAATTTGGTAGTCTTTTCAGCTTCTCTTTGAAATTTTATATCTAGAAAAGCAAATAAAAAATTACGATCGAATAAACTATAAATTTTCCCAAAATAAAATGAAGTCTTCATGATGTCTTTATGATGTGTTGACTCCAGAGGACAAGAATAAACCATCCACCATACACAAATACACAAAATCATCTACACATTATCTCTGAGATATTCTGAAAAACGGCAGCTGATACATCCTTTCAGAAGCTTCCGTTGGAGTGGCCGTGTTTTGGAATCTTAATTAATTCGGTTCTCTTTCGTTTTCTCGATGGAGGCCTTGCTGGTTTTTTTCAAAATGCTTGTAGAATATATGTGGGAGCAGGAGAGAGAGAGAAGGGAAAAAAGTTAGGGTTTGGTGTATTGAGTAGAGAGTCATGTGCTGTTTGTATGATTGAAGGAGTGGAAGAATCGTGGGCGGCTTGCTTTCATGCTTTGCATGCCTTTGCAGTACAGCGGCTATGAAACCTAACTCATTATTCAGCCGTTTCCTTCATCTTTTGTTCGCTGGGAGAGGATGGTGACGTTTTAATATTGTCGCAGGTCACATTAATCTTGGGTCCAGTCACAGGACAGTTTATTGGAAAGCGGAAGGATGATGGGGGCTGAATTAATGATCGACTTTAAGGAGGGGGAAGATGTTAGCATGATATTTTACGTAATTATAAAAAATTAGAAGTCTAGATTTGAAAAAGGGGATAATTTCAGTAATCTGATTCGATTATAATATTTTAAGTGTATTTTTGAAAAACATAAGTAGGCGGTTGAATCCAACCAACTTGCACTACAGAAAAAAATATTAAAACCGACGGCCTAAAATTGCATCGAAAAAAATATTCTATTTCCTGACGGTCTAGCGATATTTTATAATTTCACTTATTTGGGAGAGCATAATTATGAGATATGTCGTTGCATATAAACATTAATTTTTTTTTGTGATGATTTTAATTAATACGGACGCATTATGTCATCAGTTATAAGTAATTATTAACGGACGGTTATGTTTCGTCAGTTAGTTATGAACTCGTCATTTGCGGGTGTTAACCAAAAAGTTTTTTAATAAGAGATGATATTGTTCATCGTAACAGTTAATTTGTTATGTTATGTAGTGCCTGGTCAACTACATTCAGATTTAGTGGATTTTGCATCTATGGAATGTATCTTGATGAATTAATTTTCTGTTATTGGTTTCCTTGTCATTCGCCCGCTCTTTCTTATTTGCTTCCCTCTCTTGCTCGCTCTCCCGCACTCAACGATCTCTGTTTCGCGATTTAAGGCAGTTGTTCTCCTTCAAATTTCTTCTACGACTTCCCTTTTGTGTTCTTCTTCGGAGTTGGCTCATGGGTGAAGGAGGAGTAATAACAATACATATGTTCTCTCCTTTGGTCTCTTCATTGTGACTTACAGTAGAAGAGGGAGAAGAGAGAGAGCGAAAGGGGGAGTTCTTCTACTAATTGTCAAGGCGATCAATGGTATAATCCTTAAAGCGATAATATCCTCTGAAACTCCGAGGACATAGGCAAAATTGTTGAACCATGTAAATCTGCAAGTCCGTGTTTTATGAATTTTTCTTGTTCCAGTTTTTCACTTTATTGTCATATTTTTTCACAACAATTGGTGTTAGAGCAAGGGTTCATATCTGAGGGAAAGCGATGGTTGAAGATGAAGTGAAGGTATAAAAGATTGAGAAGTTTGATGCACACATTTTAGTTACTGGAGGATGCAGATAGATGACTACCTCTATGGAAAGAAACTTCATCTTTCATTACTGAGAAAGAGATAGAAATAGATTGATGGGGTTGAATGAATATTGTTAGATCGACGAGTTCTGGGGGTTATTAGGTTGATTCTGTCGAGATCTGTTACACACAACGCCGTAAAGGAAAGGACAACTACATATCTCATGACAGTTTTGTCAGATATGTATGAAAAGTCGTCTGCTCTCTGATTATCGATCTTCGACAGCCCTAACAACCTCAGTAGGCTGTTAACGTTTTGATTTTGAGCTTAACTGTTTTCGGCTCTAAAGAAATTTGAGACAAATTAAAATCAATCAATTTTTTAGCGGTAATTGTTGTTTCTTACTAAGAAAAAGTAATTCTAACGGTTTATTTGACTTCATGATGTCTCTTTCCAATATTGCCTATAACAGTAGCTACTCCAACACTATCACGATCATATTTGTTTCATATTTTATTTTCAACTATAAAGACAATCATATAACTAAACATTCTCATCGCCGTAACCCTTTACATAATTGACTGCACACCTAGAAATATGTTCTTAGAAATAAATATTTCATTTGATGTAAGGGTTTTCACATGTCCAGTGCGATGTCTAATTTTCACAAACAAAATGAAAATTCACTTCAAAATCTAATTTGTCAGTTCCAAGATTGTAATTCACATGAAAATCTAAATTCCATTGCTGCAATCCCCATTTTTGCAATACAAATTAAATTTTGAAGTGAATTTCTATTTCAGAACTGACAGCTTAGATTTTAATGTGAATTTTCATTATGATTGTGAAAATTAGACTTCGCATTAGAAGATGTTGTGAAAACTCTTAAATCATATGAAATATTTCCTTTTAAAATATATTTTCAGGTGTGCAGTCAATCACATATGTGGTTTACGAGGACGGGCATGTTTGATGCTATGATTGGCTTTCCATTTGGAAAATAAAATGCGAAAAAAATAAACTCGTACACGATTTAGTGTTGCTATGGTGACATACAATATTAGACCTGAAATAAGTTGGATCGTTTGACATTTTTGTAATGTTAGTTCCATTAAAAATCATTATTAGTCGATCATTGATTTACAAACCATTTGAACGACTTCCTCTAATATTGTATGCCACTGTAGCTACACTAGCCTTCACACATATATATTTTTGTGATATTTTATCTTCGATTGAAGAGTCAATCATAAGCCCAAGTATAATCGTCACAACAACTTTCAATCAGATCACTTTCACACTTTTAAACAAATTTTGATGAGAAAATGTCTCATATGATGTTGCTAGAGTGTTTACTTTCACACCTTCGAACAACTTTTAATAGACTCCATTCCCAAAATGAAAATTAACTAAAATATTATGTTTTATACACACGCACGGGCAGATATATATATACCTACACACATACACACATACACACATACATATATCTATATATACATACTCAGTTGATCGGACATCTGCTTGTTAATTGTAAGTCCCCTCTGGCCGGGTGTATATATATATATCTAAACCGTAGAGCGAACGCTTATTTAGGTTGCCATCAAAATTCTCATTTCACATTGAAAGTATCATCTTAACTTTTACAAAGTGAAATAAACATTTTCAATCACAAGTAAAATGCTATGCATTGTAACATTGAAGATTAGGTGTTAGATATGCAAATATATAGAAATTAAATCGTATTTACGTACATCTTCCCATCACTTTTAGCAAATTGCCTGTTTATTTCTCCTTGCCTGGATCTCTCGGCAGAAATTTTTTTAGTTTGTTTATCAGGAGGTTGGAATACTAGATTTCAAAATTGATAAAAAGTAAAAAAAAAAAATTAAAAGCGTCAGCAATTAAAGGGAAAAAAAAATTGTATGCACGCAGTGCACTAATATATTACGTAGTGCTGCATGTTTTCTCAAGCAACATGTTAAGATTAAGATGAGATCTCGGGTTTGAGTTCAACACTGAATGTTGATTCTAGAGGGAGATCACAGAAAAAAAACTCAAACAAAGGAAGATCAAAATCAAAGCACGAAGGTAAGAGCAAGTCAAAGCCTTTTTAGCAAGCAACCTACTGGAATTATGGAAAGTTGGACACGTAAAAAAGAACTCAAAAAATTCCAAAAGGACAGAGAACTTCAGTGCTAATGTTGTAACTAAAGAAATGCAGAATGTATTAGTGCTTGTAGTTCATAGTTATGCTAATGACTGGAAACTAACTCAGGAGCTTCCTTCCATGCATCTTCCTACCGGAGTTAATGTGGAATTATGTTACAGGTGACTTTAGGAAGTTACATATGACTGATGAAGAACCTTTGAACGTGGTGATGATGAGATACGTTGACATTGCACTCACTAATAACAGCAAATGGACTTTGTAAAATGTTATACACATTCCTGAGTTAAAGAAAAATCTCATTTCTGTTGGGTAGCTCAATGAGGATTGTCATTCAATAGTTTTCTCATATAGCACCTGAAAGGTCACAAAAGGGGCGTTGATATTGGCTTAGGGTAAGAAAACTAGTACATTATATATGACTGTTGATTAAATTAATAGTGTTGAAACTATCGCTGCAGAGAGCACTGCAGAATTGTGGCATTGCAGATTTGGCCACATGAGCTAGAGGGGTATGATAAAACTTCAATCTATAGACAAGCTACAAGAAATGAAGTCAGTTGATCTCAGTATGTGTGAGAGTTGTATTATGGAGAAACAAAAGAATTTCAGTTTCTTAAAAAGTGGCAGAGTGCCAAAGGCAGGAAAACTGAAACTTGTACTTACAAATGTGTGGGGACCTTCTAGAGTGGCATCTCTTCGAGGCACTCATTAATATGTCACATTCATTGATGAACACAACAGGAAGGCATGAGTTTATTTCCTGAAGCATAAATCAGATGTACGTAATGTTTTCAAAATTTGGAAGTTTATGGTTGATACGAAGATAGACTTGAAATAGAAATGTTTAAGATCTGACAATGATGGTGAGTACATTGATGGTGGGTTCAAGCAGTATTGTGCAACTCAGGGTATCATAATAGATAAGACCATTCCACCATAACAAAATGGAGTTGCATAGCATATGAATAGAACCATAAATGAGCGTGCAAGAAGCACGAGATTGTACGACGGACTATCTCCAACTCTCTAGGCAGATGCGGTCAGTATTACAATTTACTTGATCAACAAGGGGTCATCCATCCTATTAAACTGTGAATTGCCTGAGGATTTCTCTCTTATAGTTGTTTTTCTTATATTCTTATTAATTCTGATGCTCGTTGTAAACTTTATGCTAAGTCAAAGAAATGTTATTTCATTGGTTATGAAGACGAGACATTTGGATTTCGTTTCTGGGATGATCAAGATCGAATGATCAAGAAACAGGAATGTGATTTTTAATGAGAAAATCATTTAAAAGGACAAGTTCGGTACAGTCTCTAGTATAGTTTATGAAGTAGTTCCTCAGGAATCCAAGTTGGTAAGGTTTGATGACATATTAGACGTCACAATGCATGAAATTGATGGAAGTGATGAGGAGAGTAAGCCTGGGGCACCCATTCTTGTTGTTCCCCAGGACAATCTCAGAGTCGTCCACCCCTACAGCTACAGTTCGCAGGTCAGTCAGGAATAGTCGTTCCTCTCAGCGTTACTCACCAACCTTGAACTACATTATGATGTCAGATGGTGGAGAACCACGGGGTTATGAAGAAACATTACAAGATGAAAATTATAGCAAGTGGGAGCTGATCATGAAGGAGAAGATGAATTCTCTGCTAAGGAATCAGACTTGGGAGTTGACAGAACTTTCACCGGGAAAGAAGACATTGCACAACAAGTGGGTGTACTGGGTAAAAACTGTATATGATGACAGTAAGATGTACAAGACTAAACTTGTTGTAAAAGACTTTCAGCAAAGACAGAACTTTGATTATTCTGAGATCTTTTCTCCTGTGGTAAAGCTCACAACCATCAAGATGGTATTTTCCATGGTTGTCACTAAAGATCTATTTCTTGAGCAGTTATATGTGAAAACAACCTTTCTTCATGGGGATATTGAAGAAGACATCAACATGCACCAACCTGAGAGATTTGTGGTACATGGAAATGAAGAATCAGTTTGCAGATTGAAGAAGAACTTGTATGGCATAAAGCAAGCTCCTAGACAATTGTACAATAAATTAGATAATTTCATGCAAAATGTAAAGAGCATCAGATGTCAGGCAGATCATTGTTATTATGTCAGAAACTTTGACAATTCTTACATTATTCCACTGTTGTACATGGATGACATGCTTATTGTAGGAGCCATTATTGATGAGATCAATAACCTGAAGAAGCAGATGTCAGAGCACTTTGCAATGAAGGATTTAGGAGTTACAATGCAAATCCTTGGCATGAGAATTGTCAGAGACAAAGTCAGAGGCACATTGAGACTTTCACAGGCTGGGTATGTGAAAAAGGTACTCAACAGGTTCAATATTGATAAGGCCAAACTAGTTGGCACGCCTCTGAGCAGTCACTTCAGACTCAACAAGAATCTGTCACCCAAGTCAGAGGAGGAACAAGACCACATTGGTAAGTTTACCTACGCTTCAACTATTAGTTCACTTATGTATGCAATGGTTTGCACAAGACCAGATATCACCCATGCAGTGGGAGTTGTGAGAATATTTTAAGTACATTTTTAAAAAATACAAGTCCGTTGTTGAATCCAACCTACTCGGCATATAAAATCCGATAAAGTCGACCAACTAATGGTTTGTTTATAGTGGTTGTAGCTTTTTAAAAAGTTGATTACAAAATTATAATGGAGAAATTAATTTCTTAAAAATCTTTGATGAGAAATATAAATGTATTTTTTTTTTTCAAAAATTCAGACAACTTTGTTGTAACTACCACATTTTGACATGTCAAGTTAAAAAGATAGTTTTCCGCCACAAAAAAATTCAAAAAAACAGCAAGAAAGCAGTTCACCAAACAAATTTGTGGTCACGATTTTAAACATAAAGCAGTCAAAGTTGCCTCAAACAAACCCTAAATTTAGTTGATGCAACCATGCATATGAAGTATTAAATATCTTAGCATATACTGTTTAAGCAATTCACATTGTCCAATTCGACAAATTTGTTTAACGTGCTAGTTTGGCAAGACGATACTTTATCAACTCACTCAATAGTCTATTAATGCTATCACAAACGACACGCTATAGGAATACTTATAATATTTTTTTAATATATTTACTCTTTTTCTTAGCCACTTATGTAACTATTTCTAAGTAAAGCCCATCCAAACCTATAAATATGGAAGACCATAGGGGATAAGGGAGAGAAAATTGTTAATGGAAACTAAGCCTTAAATTGAAATTCTTTGTGTCATCTTCATTTTTCATAAAGTATCCTCTCTTCTTCTTCTTCTTTTTTCTTAGTTTTCTTTTTCTTTTTATAAGCTCTTATCTAGTTGGTGTGAGGTATATATATATATAGTGCTCATTGCATGTTGATGATCACATTATTCATCGTATTTTCAATCATGGAGAATGATGCAGAGATAATAATAATAATTGATAGCAATTTATCAGAACACCAAACGATACTTATCTTTCACTCACAACCTTACTATTATCTGCTTTAATTGCGTCAATGTCACATGCGTCAGAATAACATAAATAATTGTACCATCCATCGCCATCTGAAGATTTGGGGACGTTTAACATATCAACAAAGAATATATTGCTCATCTAAATATGATTTATTAATTTATATTACAATAAGAGCTGATTCATGTAATGTCTTTAGAGATGTAAAATTCCTTTTTACTGGTCGGAAACATCTCGTATTAAATTCTGTCTTGTTCTTCGATGTCTATAATGTGTTAATGTCTCCAGAGATAGTGGAAACTATTGACTGGTCGGCTAA